TTAATTCAGTCGATGTAAATTATTATAACTAATAAATTATGGATGGAAAAACCCACACGTTGTGCGGGTATTGGCCTAGTACACATAAAGGACCCAACTTTTTTGTAAGAAGAAGACTAAATAAAAAAATTGATTTAAAAAATGTCCAAATTTCACTTTTTAAAAACAAAAATTATATTAGTTTACTTAAAAAAATACATAAAAGGATCAAAAAAACTTTTTTCCCGAGGGACCCTATTTATGTTGGGCTGGGAAATATCATCTAATTATTTTGTACTAGATTTCAATTCATTTATTTTGGAAATTATTTTCTTCATTAATTAGCCCAAAAAACAATATCACACCAGCTGTAAAAAAAATAAAATAAAAAATAATATCACACCATTTAATCCTAGAGTTCAAAAAAAATCAATAGATATATTTAAGGATAATATTAGAAAGTAACCTTTGATAGAAAAGATATTAAAAAATAGTAATGGATCTATTTTTTTTTTGTTAGAAAATGACTATGGTCCCACGCTTTAGAGGATTTGTATTAACCAAAACACCCTCTTCAATTTACAAGCAGCAATCCGATTTGTTTGTTACAACCAAAATTATATCAGGGTGAAGAGTTACATCTAAACTTTCAATAGATCTGAAGAGAGAGAAATTCGACGGTAATAAGCAACGGAGAAGATCCGACAGCAAAAGTCTGACAATAAAAAAGAAACATATATCTAGTGGTAGAGAGAGAGAGAAACAATCCAGCGAAAGGAAGATAGAGAAACAATCCGGCGAAAGAGAGAGAAATCCGAAGAAAAAGAGATTTAAATCTCTCTGGATGGATATTTGCTTAGAAACACAGAGAAATCTGGTAGAGATCTAAAGAGAATGAGAGAGAAGATCTAAGTAATTTTACAAAAAAACATGAATTTTAGAAGAAAAAAAACATATTATCTAGAAAAAGTAATGTATTATTTAAAAAATACAGTTTTTAAAACAAAAATACATGTTAACTATGACAATAGCATAGTCGTCTGTCTTCAATTATGAGTTTCAGTGATAGAAAAAGGACCGGAGTTGCTAAAATATCATGGAATATGTAAAATTTACAAGGTAACTAACATAATACGTTTTATATAAAAAAAACTAATGTGTTTTTTAAAGCATAGTGTGATATATTGAAAGATAGTGAGGTAAACTAAAAAATAGCACGTTAAAAGTTAAAAATTAGTTGCATGAAATAAAATCATACGAAATTCAAAGAAAACTTCAAAAAACTTACAGATATCATCGGCGGTGAAAATCTCAAAGAAAGTGATCCGGTGAGAGAGAAAGAGATCTCCAATGATCTTAGTACAAATAACTAGTAACGAGAGAAATCAGTCAAAAAAAGTGTTGGACATTCACTGACGAAGAGCAAGAGAGAGAGACTAATTGGAATTTTGATGAACGTAAAAGAGCTTATACCGGAGCGGTGGTGGTGATTTTTTGGCGAGTGGTGGTTGTGTTTCATCATAGGTGATAATAGAGAATAGAACCTCGTCGTTTTAGTCTTTTAAAAGAAAGAGAAACAAGATATTTGTGCCATAGAAGAAAGAGAATGCTACAGTAGTTATGGTTATTTTCTTAATTTCTCTCCAGAATTTGGCTAGTTAGTGCATATTTCTTATATTTAAAATGTTATTAGTATTTCTTTGGGTATAAAATCTGTGAGTACACCAACAAAGAGAACCATATTGTTATGTTTTTTAGGCAAAGATAAGATAACCGTATTGTTAAAACTTAAAAAAAAAAAACAAACAATTTTATAACAAAAATATCACAAACAAACAGAATTCACTCAAAATTCTAATGAAAACTGTAAGCAACAGTTTCTTCCACAAACTAATTCCACAACCTTACCTTTAAACCAACGCTCAATCTCACTAACCGACAAAACCAAAATCCAAAATCGAAATCAAAATTCTCCTCTCCGCAGACGACGACGACGACCACCGGAGACTTTCGTGGATGGGCCAATCAACCTCCGCCGCCGGCAATTCCATCCTCAATCGACGACGAAGCAAATCGTTTTCTCTGAAATTTCCAATGGAATCGATAATCAAACCTGAGATTTCTCAACCTGACTACACATCGTGTTTACCTGACGAGTGCTTAGCTTTGGTGTTCCAGTTCTTAAACTCCGGTAATCGGAAAAGATGTGCTTTGGTTTGTCGACGGTGGATGATCGTTGAAGGACAGAATCGTTACCGTCTTTCTCTCCACGCTCGTTCAGATCTGATTACTTCGATTCCTTCTATCTTCTCTCGATTCGATTCCGTTACTAAGCTTTCATTGAAATGCGATCGTAGATCTGTGAGTATCGGTGACGAAGCGCTTGTTAAAATCTCTCTCCGGTGTCGGAATTTGAAGAGACTTAAGCTTAGAGCTTGCCGTGAGCTCACCGATGTAGGTATGGCTGCTTTTGCTGAGAATTGTAAAGATTTGAAGATTTTCTCTTGTGGATCTTGTGATTTTGGAGCTAAAGGTGTGAAAGCTGTGCTTGATCATTGCTCGAATCTCGAGGAGTTATCGATTAAGCGTCTTCGTGGATTCACTGATATAGCTCCGGAGTTGATTGGTCCTGGTGCTGCTGCTTCGTCTCTTAAGTCGATTTGCTTGAAGGAGCTTTATAATGGTCAATGTTTCGGTCCGGTGATTGTTGGTGCGAAGAATCTTAGGTCTTTGAAGCTTTTTAGGTGTTCTGGTGACTGGGACTTGCTTTTACAAGAGATGGCTGTTAAGGATCATGGTGTAGTGGAGATACATTTGGAACGGATGCAAGTGAGCGATGTAGCTCTTACTGCGATATCGAATTGTTCGAGTCTCGAGATTTTGCATCTTGTGAAGACACCGGAATGCACGAATTTTGGATTAGCTGCGATTGCAGAGAAGTGTAAGCATTTGAGAAAGCTACACATTGATGGTTGGAAAGCGAATTTGATTGGGGATGAAGGGCTTGTGGCTGTAGCTAGGTTTTGTTCTCAGTTACAGGAATTAGTACTGATTGGAGTGAATCCGACAACGCTAAGTTTAGGAATGTTGGCTGCGAAATGTCTGAATCTTGAAAGATTGGCACTTTGTGGTTGTGATACGTTTGGTGATCCTGAGCTTTCTTGTATTGCAGCGAAATGTCCGGCTCTAAGGAAATTATGTATCAAGAACTGTCCCATTTCGGATGTGGGAATCGAGAATCTTGCAAACGGATGCCCAGGTTTAACCAAAGTGAAAATCAAGAAATGCAAAGGAGTTCTGGGAGGGTGCGCAGACTGGTTAAGAACGGTTAGGCCTATGCTTTCAGTCAACGCAGACACCGTGGAACCAGAACATCAAGAAGAAGCAAGCAATGATGCTGTAGGAGGATTGCAAGAAAACGGAATCGAATTCCCTCAATTGAACAGCCAGATCATGGCACCAAGCATTGCTTCTAGCAGTAGAAGAAGCCGGTCAGGGTATTTCAAATCAGGCATTGGACTGTTCAGCGGAATGAGTCTAGTAGCTTGCACTTCGAGACAACGACGGGCAAGCAGGTGATTGATTGCGCTCAGCCAATTCTGTGTTCATTACTTGATCATGTTGTTTCTTACAAATGAAATTGTATATATATAGTAGTTGTTTGTTGCATTTCTCAGTTCCATATATCAATCTTTACTGGTCTATCAAGTCGCCAACATATCACATTCTCGATATGGATACCGGATATTCCTAAAGAGATATAAATCAGCATAAACCATTTAGCATCAACATAGCACCAAGTAATGCGCTTAACTTGAATACAAAAAAATTCACACATTACAGCATAGTGCGATTTAACAAGGCACACCACAAGATGATTTCATTTTAATCTTTCGCTAGTACATTCTTACACTTTCCTAGCAACTTTTACAAACCAAGACAGAGAAGTCCATATCTTGTGTCTCTTTAAGAAATTTACTTTCTGCAGAGAATCAAAAACTGGATATTTCTAAATAACATCAGGTAATGTGCTTAACTCCAATTAGAAAAAAAAAGATTCACACATCACAACATAGTGACTTAACAAAGTTAGAAGAAGATTTCTTTAGAGTCATTTGCTTATTAGTGAACCGGCCTAAACCTAGAATTAAGTTGTGTGTTAAAAACGTTAAGTATTTATTAAAGAGAGAAATTACTACCAGTTATAACCCAGCCTAGTGGCTTAACAAACAACACGGGTCGGGGTCTCGCAAGGGTTCGAGCAATACAATTGGTACCTTGAATGTGTAGGGATAGTAATTTCAACTCTCACAAAGAATTAACCTTTGGTGACCTCCGAAGTGAGGTAATCTAAATGACCTCTTTTGTAAAAAAATTTACTATATATCCTTTGTTTCTTGTGTTCTGTTTTGTGTCTTACACTTTCAATATATGTCTGTGATTACTTGCAGAGGTTGAGAGGGACGACTTAATAGTCTTAACAGCTTCTAAATTAGTCACTCTTGACGACTTGGTTCGTGACATGTCCTGAATTAGACCAGTGTTCTTGTAGTGTCGACCCTTCGATTCCTTTGATTTCAACTCTCCTAACACTCTGTCTCTCCATATTGTAGTAGTAAACATAAAATGGATGGGTCAAACGTCTTGAGTCTTGATGAAGCCCAAACAATTTCACATGTATCAGTTGTGCACATTGATTTTACTGCCCTCAAACCTGACTTTGGCAAAACAAAGAAGCGCGTCGACCATTTAACTTCCTTGGTGTCATAAGAACCCATATGATAGTCTGTTGCTACAACACTTTAGTTGTCACCAGATTTTTTAGGCTGAGGGAATGAGAAGAAGTGCCACTTGCTGCCAAATCTAAAGGTGAAAAAAAGACGCGGCAGAGACAACGAATTAAGTGTAGCAGTAGCAGTAGAAGATCAACAGTAAAAAGATCAAGATCAATGTCATAGACAACATCCATAAGCAACAACAATGAACATAAGTGGAAATATAGTAAGAATCATAAACGATCATCAAGTGAAGAAAACACTTCGAAACAAACCAGTGACAAGCCTGAAAGTTATTACAGAAACATCACATTCTCAACATGGTCTATGAAGGTGAAGTGTTCTTCGGGACGACCTTCTACTCCAATCAATAATTTTTCTTCAATTCCTTTAATTTCAACTCTTCTAAGACTCTTCCTCTCCACGTTGTAGTAGAAAATATAGAATGGACGGGTCCAACGACTTAGCACCCAAACAATTTCACCCTCATCAGTTGCCCAAATTGATTTTATTACCTCATGAGTTGTATTTGGCAAAAAAAGATATGCTTCGACCAGTGCCGGTCCGGTAAAATCCGAGGCCAAATACGAAAAAAAAATTGAGGCCTTTTTAAATAATAAAAATTGCTTAAAATTTTTTTTTACTAATTATGAGATATTTATAATTTTTATTTATAAATATTTTTTAATTTTTAGACATTGTTTGTTAATTTTGAGACTTTTTTACTAATTATGGGATATTTTTTATTAATTATGTGTTTTTTTACTAATATTAGAGTTTTTTGGTTAATTTTGAGACCTATTTAAAAAAAAAAAAAAAAAATTCTCCACAAAAAGGCCTCAAAAGTTTGAGGTCCCATACAAATGTTTCTCAAAAATGGGCACAGGGCCGGGCCTGGCTTCGACCATTGATCGTTCTTGCTATCATCTAGAACCAATAACTCATCATCACTACCAATAACATACACTCGAACACCTAACTTTCCCTTGTAGTTTATCAGAGTCGAAATGCAACGTAACTTACAACTATTGTCCATTTCTATAAACCTAAATTTCTCCGACCTAACATCAAAGCATGCTATCAAAGTAGTCATGTTGGACCAAGCTATGTAATACAAAACACCGTTGATGCATATCTCCTTGCTCTGCTTGTTAGGATAATGCATGCGGAATCAAACATTCGATCTTTCTCCACGATAGTTTTCCCTTACCTAATGTCAAAACTTGATGCTCTTTGGAGCTAGTTTGTCTTCTATAAATCGTCACGGTCATGCACAAAACCTTGAACTGTTTCTCGATGGGATCATACCCGAAAAAGCTTCTCAAATCAACATTCTTTGCTCTCACTTTAGGTAAAAGTAGGTGCTGACCCGTGCTAGGGTTACATATCACAGGAATCCTATCTATCTTTCCCTTTAACATTTGTTTATCATTCAGATAGAACAATCCATTGGCAGATAGACAAATTTCCTTGTACCAATCTCCAGAGAAACCCATATGGCAATCTGTTACTACAACACTTACGTGTTCATCAAGATTTCGAGGCTGAGGGGATGAGAAGAAGTGCCACTTGCTGTCGAATTCGACGGCGAACAAAAGACGCGGTCGAGACGATGAACTTGTCAGGAACAGTTCCGTGAAATCTTGACGTCGAAGTAAGGACGACCATTGCTTGGAGACACAACAACAAATTGCGATAGATTTCGACGATAATCTTGAGAGTATCTCGATAATGAGATCGATGGAAAACGTATTTGTGTTTTCATTTTCGCCTACATTCGTTGAGGTCGATGATTGTGTGTTACGTCGGACGATTTTACGGCGATCCATATTTGGCAAATTGTTCTGCTCTAGTCTCTCTAGGTATATAGTTCTACTTGAATACAAAAAACTGAGATTTAATTACTATAATCTTTTCAGAATCTTTTTTTTTTTTCTGGCAGATCTTTTTAAAATCTTTAGTTTCCTATTTAATCTTTTTTTTTTCCAAGTATTCATCAACTGAATTATGAGTTTATCCAAAGAATATCCTACAAGAAATCATCGTGTAACCGACGAACAAAACTGTTGATAATCCATCGGTTAGGCCCATAACCGACGATTTACGGACAAAATATGGTCATCAATCTACTTGCAGATGATAAAGGCGAATGACCATCTCTATAACCTCTATGTAGCGGCTGCTTAGCTGCATCTAACATACCAAAAAACCTTTGAGCTTCTAAATTTGGTTCCTCCACCGTAACTCTATCTTCACCCAGTGACTGCATATTTTTCCTATACACATCCTTCACCATGTGAATAGTCTCTACGCCAAAATCTACTTCCGTTCTATGTTCTTCTAGGCTATCTGCAACATATGGTTCGCTAGTACTAGCATAATCCAGTCTTTCTCCATGGAGAAACCAAAACTTGTAACCCTCCATAAATCCATTGCAATACAAGTGATTCCAAACTAAAACAATCCTAATATTGGGGGAATTCCGGCAAATAGAACATAGACATGTTAACTTACGAGTTTTCTTTTGCTCCGGGTTGCTGATTGTTTTGCTAAGTCCTCGGGGATAGAGACCAGTGGCGGAGCCAGATATTTGGTTTATAAGGGTCATTTATATTTAATTATATATTTATATTAAAAGATATATTGAAAATATAATAAAAATTATTGTTTAAATTGGGTAGAGAACATTTATTACCTAAAACAAAAACTAAATATATTTTTAATATAAATTTATATTGTAATATTTAAAATGCTTCCACTTTCAATAAAAGATACATGTATTCATATTTTTATATAAATTTTCGTTGTGTTAACTATTTTTCTTAAAATATATTTTTATCTAATCTATAGGAATCTATAGGAATATATTTTTCTTAAAATATATTTCGTTGTGTTATATTATGTAGGAATTTTGAAAAGAAGGTAAGAAAATATATAAAACAGGATATTTTATGAGGTAAGAAAAAATTAATATGCAAGAAAATGTTAGATATTTATAGTCTCTTCTTAAGAAACACAAAACAAAAATGAAAATGGAACTAATGTTAAATAAAAAAAATGAATATGAATGGGGTCAAAGGTAGGAGATGATCATATGGCATAGGGGTCAACATGAAAATTTTATACCAAAACAACTAATATTATTAAGTAAAATACTTTATAATTAAGAATTTTCAAATGTCATGGGGTCAATTGACCCCCCTCCCTATACATTGGCTCCGCCTCTGATAGAGACTATCCTGCTTTTGCGCAACTCATCTCGCATAGCAGCTGGTAGGTTACTCAATACTAAAGACCTTTTAGGTAATAGTATTAGGCGTCCTCCATCATCCTTATGCACTCTTCATCGTCCAAGAATTCAGGGTCGTCTAGTTGTACCTGTGTTGGTTTGGGTTTCTTTGGTACATATTCGTTCTTTGGTACATGTCTCTTTGGGCGATACTGATTCTGTTTAATATGCTTCTTCGTCATACTAGTATTCTAAACTGAAATCCTCTTGCTTTCATAAAGCATGTCAGAAGTTGAGTTGAAAGCTCCTTCTTGGGTTTCAGAACCGAAATAGATGAGAGAAGCTGTAGTAACATGAGCCATGGGTTAAGAGCCGCAAGGTTCTTAGGAACAGTACCAAAGAGCCTATCTGAGTCTATGAAACCAACACAAGTAAGTGTAATATGGTCAGCACAAACTGAAACAAAATTAATCAAAAGCTTAGTGTGAGGTCGAGCAGTTTGTCCGTTAGATTATCAAGTTTACTTAGTTAAGTGAAATAATATATGTTTACTAGATTTTTAAATGCTTTCAAACAATGAATATGTTTAAGTGAAATAATGTGTTTTGTTTAGCAAATTAACAATAAATAAACTTGAAAATATATGAACGGTAAATGAACGCACATAGTGAAAAGCTACATGAACATGGCAGTGCCTAGTAAAGAAAAAAATAAACATTCGCAGCCCTTGATTTTTATATAATACTAATGGGCATATTTACTGTTTCATATTTAATTCTTATATAGTTTACCGTAATAGTTTTTCTTTCTCGTGTGTTTAGAACACCACCAATATCCCGCATGCTCATATTTCAAAGCTTCTTTTTAATCAAATGTAGAATTTTAATACAAATAAATTGCCAATTACATAAATTTTTTCAAAATCTTTTAATTTTCTGCTCCTTATATCCTCGTGTAAACTCCAACATTTACTTCTCTTGTACTTCTGATCCATCCTTTTGATGACTAGATGTTCCACCACTGTATCCATTGATTGATGACAAACATTGCGGCAAAGAAGACAAGGACAGAATATTTCTGATGGATTACCCAAATTACTTGATGATTCAACCACAAACTTAGTTGCTCCTGTTTCATACTCAAGGCTATTCCTACAAGTTAACAAATAGTACCCATTACAAACTGAGAACAGTCAATCATAAAATGAAATCAATGCATATATGTAAGAACAAGTTAATACCTTGGCAACCAAACCCAAGCTTTATCCATTTCACAAGAGCTCCGACCAAATATGCATACAAGTAATTTTCATAGGCAGTCACTTTCAAAGCCAAAACAACAATACAAGTAATCTGATAGAACAATCATATACCTGATAGAGTTTGTTCTCTTCTGATTAACTCGAACTGCAACAGAAAAAGCAAAAATAGAAATCAATTAAACTCAAATCAATAAATCTACAAATCCAAACAAAATTTAAAAGAAATCGATTTCATTATTAGTCTTTGATTTGGCTCTGTTTACCTTCTCTTGGGTGTTGACTCCTTCAATCTGGACAAGTGATGTGTTTGGATACTGGTTCGACTACGACCTGCACATTGAAGTAAATGTCAGACCAGATCTAGTTTCAAATTGTTAGGACTCGTTCAAACATAACTCAGTTAACAAGGAAGATGTGAAAGATACACAAAGCACTCAAAGCAGTTCAAAGAACATGTAGATACAGTCTCAAATATGTGTAAGCGATTCTACCTAAATCCTCAAATCCCTAAATCCCCAAATTCTAAATCCTCAAATTCCTAAATCGACCAAACCCAAACCCAAATCGTCATCTCGCAGCTCTCTCTCTACAAATCAAGAACAAATTTGTGATTAAGTGGGATTTACCTTCGATTTAGTGGGATTCCCAAACAGATCGAGCATACAAGGAAGATGGGAAAACCTAAGGAAGATGCGGAGAGAGCAAAGAGGTTGAAATTTTTCGGAAATTTGTGTTTTGTGTCTGTCGGAGATAGCAAAGAGGAGAGAAAGAGGAAACCCTAAAAATTGAAGAGTAAAGTCGACAAAGATGAGCTAAGGGGAAAAAGAAAAGTAATGCCCAAAAATATTTCTAAGTCTAATAGCGGGAATGGGAAATTTTTAGCGCCCAACCCTTTCAATAGCGTTTTAATATGGTAATGCTATTAAATATACTTCCGCGTCATAGTAAAAATTGTGAAACACTATCCATAGCGTTTCAACAAGGTAGAAACGCTATTGAAAGTTCAGAGGTCCTCTAACAATAGCAGAATGACTACAAACGCTATTGTATAGTGCTATTAAAACCCGATATTCCTGTAGTGCCCATGCTCATATTTCAAAGTTTCTTTTTAATCAAATGTAGAGTTTTAATACAAATAAATTGCCAATTACATAAATTTTTTCAAAATCTTTTATTTTTCTGCTCCTTGCATTCAAAAAGTTGTGACAAAAAAATGCAATGAAATATAGCGAAGAGATGTAACCTTAAATGAATAGATACAATTATACAGACAATCGTAAACTGAAAAAATACGACTATAATTGAACAAATAGAACTGTCCCGAAAAGATAACCGTTAATATTTTAATTAAACGATGCGATAAAAAAAACACAATGGAGAAAAAATAACCGTCAATATTTTAACTAAAAGTTGCGATAAACAGACACAAACAAAAAAGTAACCATCGATATTTTAACAGAAAGTTGCGATAAAAAGACATAACCGAAAAATAACCGTCAAAGGAAAAAAGTAACCGTCAATATTATAATGAAGCGTTACGATAGAAAAACACAACAGCGAAAAAATAACTGTCAATCTACTTGCAGATGATAAAGGCGAATGACCATCTGTACAACCTCTATATAGCGGCTGCATAGCTGCATCTAACATACCAAAAAACCTTTGAGCTTCTAAATTTGGTTCATCTACCGTATCTCTATCTTCTCCCAGTGACTGCATATTTTCCCTATACACATCATTCACCATGTGAATAGTCTCTACACCAAAATCTACTTCTGTTCTATGTTCTTCTAGGCTATCTGCAACATATGGTTCGCTAGTACTAGCATAATCTGGTCTTTCTCCATGGAAAAACCAAAACTTGTAACCCTCCATAAATCCATTGCAATACAAGTGATTCCAAACTAAATCAATTCTAATTTTGTGGGAATTCCGGCAAATAGAACATGGACATGTTAACTTACGGGTTTTTGTGGCTTCGGGTTACTGACAAGCTAATTCCATGAACTCTCCTACACCTCTTGCATATTCGTCCTTCAATAAAGTCGACTCGAGATCGTACTTTGATTCGTCCATCCACGATCGAAAATAAGAGAGAGAGTGTATTGATGTATATTTATAGAGAGTGATTGTTGTTGAGAGAGAGTGTATTGATGTATATTTATAGACAAATTGGTTCTGACCTCGTCGGTAATCCGTTGGTAAACGGCTATAAACAGCTACATTAACGGTAATATGAAATGACAGATACCTGATGGACTATTGATTGATACCCGAACGGTTATAATTCCGTCGGTATTCTATCGGTAATTTTGGAATATTCCCGACGAATATTATCCGACGGATTCCTGACGAAACAAATTAATCCGTCGCTATTCCGTCGGTAATTTTGGAAAACTCCCGACAAACTTATATTCCGTCGTTATTCTGTCTGTTTTCTGTCTGTAAAAACCGACGGATATGAGTTCGTTACTAAATTCGTTGGTTTTTCCAATATAATTTTCTTGTAGTGAGATATCCTCAATTTTACTATAATCTTTTTAAAAATATTGAATTGGCCCTCGATGAGATTCTAAAATCATTTTTAAATATGAATAAATTAAAATTTTACATCCTATATACAGCCTCGGTCCAACCATTTCAAAGGCTTTAGTGCAAGAAAAAAAAATTCCCAATATTAATTTAAATAAATTATTTGGACTTCTTAAAGAAAAAAGTGATGGGCCTCTTCTTATAAGATTTACACAAAATATTTGAAATTTTTTTGTCCAAATTTATATTAGAATCTCATTTTTGGGTCAAAATTTTTCTTTTTTAGTTTACAAAATTAGACCTTTTTTGTTTAAAAACTTTTTTAAAAAAGCTAATGAGCCTTAGACAGTTGCACTTCTGCCTACCTTTTTTGTTACAAAATTCGTATCACTAATCGAATCAACTATCGCATATACGAATAAAGAGTGTACATATAAGTGAGTGGTAGAATTAAACCAGAATACTTTGTAGGTTAATAATGTTAATATTCAAGTGGTGACTAAGACGATTGACATCCGAAAAAGAGATAAGAAAATGGAAGATGGAAGCTGATGGGGTTTTTGTCGGCCAATATTTGGGTTTATCTTTAACCCATTACTCCACGTGTCCTCTCTTTTGTTCTTTCTTAAGTGACGTGTCTTTGTTATAACTTAATTAACACTTAAGTTCCACAAATACATTTGACTCTTTGGTATTATCTATCAAACCATAGAATCTTTTTCTGATAGTACTTGTTAATTGTTGTTGTAAAGCTTTTCTTGACCGTCCTCTCTAGGCAAAGAATATATAGAAACGTAAACATCATCGAATCAAACAAATTTTGTTCACTGTTTTTTGGGTTTAATATAAATCTAATCAAAACTGCGAAAATGAGCATAGATTAAATGATTAAACGAACATGTTCATATTCTTTCACGGTTGCACCAATATTATGATGAATCAAATTAAACTAAAACCAATATATTTGAATAAAAGGAAGCATTTAACTTAAAATAATAAATCCTTTTTTTTTTGGGCACACTTAAAATAATATATCTTATAAGTTTATGTGGTCCTGTAATACAAACATACAAGTCTCTGTCATACCAAAGCACGGGTATTTGTCCTTAATAAGCAACTTTGGAATAATATACTATGAAATAATAATTAATAGTCTATGACAATAAAATATTTATTAAGAGTTTGAATGATTGAATCAAATAGTTAAGTTTATAAACTGTCAATGGGTAAATTTGAGACTGCATCACGGGTAGTAATCGACCCATGTTTTTAAATAGGATACGAGAGAAATATTTTGTATTTTAATTTGGATAAATATCATTTCATGCAAACAATTTGAACCATCGCCATGGGTATATACATAAACATAGAGATAATATTTGATTATTTTTTTTTTGTCAAAGGAGATAATATTTGATTCGAGTTAAGTATTAGTAAACTAAAACGAAAATCAATTTGGTTTGGAAAATTACTCGGCTTTGAGTTCCCTTCATTTCTTTTTCGTTTTTCCTAATTTCATGAAATGTTTTACAAGATACACTCATTTATATAGAGATGAACTAAACATACGTTTTGAAATTTAAATAATGAAAAATTGTAAGTAATAATTTTAAAGATAAAACTGAATTTAATAAACTAAAGATATACAAATGTTGATCATTTTAAAGAGTTCTTGATTTCTTTAAAATTAGGTTTTCGTGACTTTTTGTAATTTTTGTTTGTTATCTCAAACACTTGATCTCGATCAATTTCAGTCGGTCTCCTAACCCTCCATGCATGACAAATTCAGTGATAAATTTAGTAAAGAGATAACAAATGAGACGTACGAGGTTACTTGGCAATTTCTACAAAACCAATATTTATGTCGGCCATAGTTAATATTTAATATTGTCACCGTACTTTATAAACTTCCACTGCCCCCAAAAGTTTGTCTTTTATCAATGGAAAGAGAACAAGAAGAGTCTACGATGCGAAAGAGAAGGCAGCCACCTCAAGAAGAAATGGCTAGCCACGTGGCTACAAGGAAGCCGTACAGAGGGATACGGAGGAGGAAGTGGGGCAAGTGGGTGGCTGAGATTCGTGAGCCTAACAAACGTTCACGTCTTTGGCTCGGCTCATACACAACCGATGTCGCCGCCGCTAGAGCCTACGACGTCGCCGTCTTCTACCTCCGTGGTCCCTCCGCGCGCCTCAACTTCCCCGATCTTCTCTTACAAGAGGAGGACCACCGATTGGCCGCCGCCACCGCGGACATGCCCGCAGCTCTTATACGGGAAAAGGCGGCGGAAGTCGGTGCTAGAGTCGACGCTCTCCTTGCATCCGCCGCTCCTTCGACGGCTGACTCCTCTCCGCCGGTAATAAAACCCGATTTGAATCAAATACCCGAATCCGGAGATATATAGTCAAATTTTACACATGTAGTTTGTTTTGTTTGTTTAGGAGATTACATTTACATACAAGATACACATAAATACATGAAAATATATAGATGTATACATGCATAAAAATTATATATGTATCAAAAATTGTTATAGATTCTGTCATTCTGATTAGGTTTTTGTTTTTCGATAAAACTGTAATTAGTTGCCCGGAGACAAAACCGGCTAAGAGCAATCCATGGGAAGCGAGTTTTAGTTCAAGTTGTAATATTAATGATGCATATTAATTTTTAGGTAACTTTGTTTAAGAATTTGTGATTCGTGTCCTCTTCCTATTTTACCAATGTTTAAACTTCAAATTTTTTGATATTATAAGCTTGATGTGATTATTGGATCCGTAATCCAAATATATATGTTTAATTACGTTATCTTGAGGATATTGGTAGAGAACTTCATCCGAAAACTTGTACTTTACATTAAAGAAAATTCTCTTTATGTGCTTTCAAAGTTAGTTAATCAATGAATTAAAGTATTTTATATTATGATTTGCCAATATTCAATGATTCGCATAAGGCGTGTAAGAAAACCATTAGTTTGTTTTTTTTTTTTTTTTTTTAAGAAAGTCAAAATTAGCATAAAAATTTTCTATTTTTTTTGTTTAATTGTGAAATTGATTGATCATGAGTGGAGAAAATATTTACAAGAGTAAAGCCATCTCCAAGAAACAATGATGGCCGTATAAAAAGGACTTACTAAACTTTGCCTATAAACGATGACAACAATATTTAAAAACAGGGCTCAAGAATCTCCCGAGCCGGTGATCATGGTTGTGAGAGTACTATGCCAATCTGGATCTTGCCGTTGGTGAAGTAGACGTCCTGCAACTTCCGACCATATCATGGAAGAGAAGGGACACGCAAAAACAGGTGATCACGGTTGTTCATGTCCCCAGCTTCGCATACGCATCCCTGTTGCAAGTCGATCACACACTGCTAACCAAGTGATGAACCCACATCGAGGTATACCTTGTTTGAACCAAACTACTTTACTCCAATCTTTTTGAGGAGAATGGCTTCTAAGTTGATCCCACTTATGTTTTGGTTGAGAAAATATGTTTGTAATCATCTTGGCTAAGCCTCCATGCCTCCATAAATAAATATCCGGACCATTGGATGAAGTGGGTAGGGGCTGAGCGCGTAGCTGCTCAGTGATCGGAACCGTGTGCGCTACTCTCGTCCTCCGCACCCTCCAGCCATGTTGGCCTAAAGCTTCTTTAACTGTAGCCGTAATTGAGATCCCTAGGAATCTCGGCCCTGCTTCATCCGTGAGGTCTATGAGCCTCCCCATAGGGAGCCAGTGATCCAGCCAAAATGAAACGGAGACACCATCATTCACCTCTGCCCGTAGAAATGTTCGTATTTCATCTCTTAGCTTTAGTAATTTCGGCCATATCCATGAACCCAGAGTTGTATCGACACAAGAAAACATTTTTTCTATTATGATCAAAACTAACTTTTATTTTATAAAATACATTATTTTTAAAATAATAAAATCTTTTTTTTTATGAGTTAAAAACTGAAATAATTAATATTTAATACAATGTGTATATTAAAATCTATTAACTAAAAAAAAATGTTCTACCTAGCTAGGTTGCTTGATAACAATGTTAATCTATTATATTAAAAGAGTGTCTAGTTAAGTGTGTATTGTATGTGCGGATGAAGTAGCAATAAAGAGCAAAAAGTAAACGACACAAGAAATTTGTTAACGAGATTCAGATTTTTCTACTTCCCGGAACCAAGTCCAGATTTCGAATTCACTAGAACAAGAAAGCAAATACAACCAATTTGCAAACGCATAAATCAAGCAGACCCCTCTTGAATTACAGTTCTCTTCTATTACATGAACTCTTAAAGATAATATCTACCCTTAACTAAACTCCTCCTGAGTCTAGATTTAATCAGGATAACCTAATCTTGAGCTAAACTTCTCTTGAGCCTAAACTTCAAAACAAAACCACTTGATCACACAAGCACCAAACCGCAAAACTAAATTACACACAATCTCACATAAAGCTCTCAATGATATTTCTTTATGTTTCAGCTCTCCTGCTTCTCAAAGACGTCCACAACTGCTCATTATATAGCCAACACGAATTCCTATCATCATAGGAAAAGGTTTCTGATACTAGGTTTTTACTATGAATTACCCTAATATACTTTCATGTCATTGCAGTATAAGAGGTTATCATTCCAATCAGGTGCTTTTACTATCAATCAAGATATGCTCAAAAAAAACTAAGTCAAGCCAGGCATGATATTGTTTTGTTATCTAGCAATCCTAAGCGATCATGCATAAACGATAAAACTACAGAACATGAGTGATCATGCATAAAGAGAAATAACTATCAATACTAAACAACAATAAGCAAGTAAGCAACAGGTAAAGAGATAAGTAAATCAAATGAGATAAAAGGTCCTGAGGATAGGGTAATCGATTATAGCAGTCTCCTTAGTCTACTTAGGTGGTTAACAATCCAAACAGGTTATCCCTAGACAATAGATTCAACTACAGACCAATTCACTCTCACGACAGAGATCCTCAAGCAATACCAGTTCCAGACCTAATCATCATTAGCGAAATCTAGCAAAGCAGGCAATAAGATTCAATCTAATATAGTCAATAAATATTAATCTTTTGGGCTAGAGTATGAAAATCTCTGGAGTAGTTGGGTCAGACATTTCATCGAACACCTTGTGGACGTGGAAATGTCTGGGCTCAAATCCCAGTTGATCAGAAAGGAATAAGCATTAAGTACTACTAATCTAGAAGGGATTCAAACAATTCTACACTTAACCACCTAAATAAACCAAGGATTCCACACCTAATCTATCTCATCCTCAAGAACCCTAATCACTACTCAGACATGCTCAAGAAACCAAACCCAGAAAATTGCACAAACCCAGAAATCGATAAAAACTTCATATGTTATAGATCAAGATGAGATAAACAACTTTGAAGAAGAAAGTAATTGCAAAAACTCAAAGGATCAAAAAGAATTTGGATTACAAAAGTTTGCAGAAAATATTGTTCAGTGGCTAAAAAACGAGATCCTTTGGAAAAAACCCTAAGAGGTCTATTTATAGCAAAAGTAGAAAACCCTAGTACACAAAACGAAAAAAATACAAAGTCGGTTTAAGGTCTACTCGACTTGGTACTCGAGTGGTATTGGTCGAGTAGACCATTCTTCAAAGGTTGCGCCTTTAAGTCATGTGCTCGAGCGAAGCTCCTGAGTGGTGGTCGAGGTCCCTGGTCGAGTGCTTTGGTCGAGTAGGTTGGTCTGGTCTCTATGCAGCTGCTCGAGTACTCTGCTCTGGCACTGGTCGAGTAGCTTGGTCTTGCACTGCTCTAGTAGGTTGCTCTGGCACTGCTCCTCAATACTTGAAAATGCCTGATACAACTCGAAAAATGCAAGAATGCATGCAATGGTTATGTAGAATGATCCTAAATACACAAGTAATGCTAATTGATGCAAAGTGACTGTAAATGACATGAACCAAGAGTAAAACTAGACTAAATGAGAGATAAATGCATGGTAAAAACTAGTAAAATATAGACATATCAGTTTCCAAATTCCATAAGCAAATTATGAAGTAAATAAACTATTCTCAAAGATGTATAAGATTATTTGTTTTTTGTTTTTTTTGTCAACCACACATTAATTAATAAATAATTCCTTGATTAGTTGCCCAATTAGGAGGAGAAAAGTCAACAAAAGTAACTTCAGAAAATAAAAGTCTAGAAGAACGGGTTAAGAAGTCTGCGATTGTTTGTTATTTAAGTAGAAAATAAATTATCATTTTCAATCATTTTATGGATAAAACGAATTTCAATACGAAAAATCGCTGATTTTAATAGAATAATAAAATATTTGATGTTTCTTAATATTCCAGATTTTGATTAATCTATATAGATTAGCAATCTCAATAAATGCTTTTGCACTTCTGAACGGTTGTGTCTTTTTATCGCAACATTTCGTTTAAATATTTACGGTTATTTTTTTTTGTGTCTTTTTATCGCATCTTTTCGTTGACATATTTACAGTTATTTTTCTACAGTTGTATCTTTTTATCGCATCTCTTCGTTAACATATTTAATAGTTATATTTGTTCAATTACAGTCGTATCTTTTCAGCTTACGGGTTGTATCTTCATAGTTGCATCTATTCATTTAAAATTACATCTCATATTATTTAGATTTGAATTTTGGTTTTGTAACTAAAATATATATTTTACGGTTGTTTTTTTTTTCAAAAAATTGTAATCTGAATAAATATTTTCTACGATGGCATCTTTTTTATCTTAACACCTCATAAACAATTGTGATTGTTTAGTTGAACCAGTGAACATTTTGGCTTATCTGATTAACCGTTGTAACCTTTGATTTATTTGATGAACCGTTACAATATTTGATATATTAGATGAACCATTGCAACTTGAATTTATTTGATCAATTATTACAACATTAAGTATATTTGATGAACCGTTGCAACAATGCCTTTGTAATACATTTTTGAGAGCATAAACTAAAGCCTTTTTTTTTAACAAAGCATTAACTAAAGTTATATGTGTTCATTTAAATTATATCAAACACAATATTTATAAAATATCAAATCTATATCTTAATTATAATTAAAAATAATTTTTAAATTAACCAAAAATAATTAGTAAAAAACTAAAATATAATCCACAAAGAAATTTGGAAATCCAAAATTGTCTTAATCAAGTAATCGAAAGTTCATTTCTATAGCCTCATTTTGTTTCAAATATTTTGTGTCTTCACATATGATTACTTGCATTAAAATCTATAAGGAAATATGTAATATTAAACTAATATTAAAAAATTATGTTGTTATTTTGAACTTCACTATTCTTTATCTATTGGTTAAAAACTATGCTAAATGAAATTTTTTTATATATGTTAAAATCTAATTGAGAAAACATGTAAAATTAGCATATGCAAATATATATTTGTTTTTGTTTGTTTGAAAAGAAAAGTCAAACAAACTTTTAGATATAAACATGTAAATTATATGTAATACTTTTTAATTAGTTTTCTTACTTGTTTAAAAAAGGTTAATTTTTTGACATATGTCAATATATGATCGATATACTTGACACATGTCGTAATTATCTTAACTACTAACGTTGAAACAAATAACTATATAGTACGATATGTTTAAAAAAACATTAGTTTTCCTATTTTGTTAAGGAAAATAAGTTAATTTGTTTTTTGACATGTATCAACATCTGATCGAGTACTCGACATGTGTTGTTGTCATGTTAATATTATAAGAACCGTAAATGAAACAAAAAAATAAGCTTTGAAAAATATAATAATATTACCGTGAAAATATATCTATTACATATTTCAAAGAAAACGTTTTTGAATATATCTATTATTTTTGTTATCTTTTTTAAATTAGTAGTTGAGAAATATTTCTTTACCTTTTTTTAAATCTAAGTATATTTTTTTTATTTGGAATTTTCTATTTTTGTGTTAACATAATGTCAAAATCTAATTGGTTGAAATTGTTTATACATGTCAAAATCTTATCGAGATACATGACACGAGTCTCAATCATATGAGTTACGAAATTTGAAAAGCATAATTTATATAATAAGATATCAATGTTGTTAGTTGTTTTTCTTTTATTTCAATTCAAAATATTATACAATATCATTTTTCTCATAATTAGCATGGATGTATTTGATGTGAAAAAGTTATGCCTCACAATTAGTAGCGTGAAAATAAAGATATGAAATAACTGATAGGTTTAAATAAATATATATTACATAAATATAAATTGATTGTTCTATCATCTTTTATAGTTTTGCAAACAGAAAAGTTAGTTTGGAGGTTTAAAGTGTTAGTAAAACAATCTTGGTGGTTTATAATGTTAGTAAAATTATTTCGAGGTTTAAAGTGCTTCCCAGTTACACTTTGAATGTTAAAAATATGATTTTCCCAAATAAATAGAGTATTATAAATATAATTAGTTAATCATAATATCATCTCAGTTACGACCATCGCTCTCGAGGGCCTAACATGAAATAGCTATGCAGTCCATCTAGGATTCTTTCATTGGGCCTTTTCTTTTTATCATGGATTCTAAACCCATGACAAATTAATTAATAATATTTAAAGCTACTATAGTTTATGCTTTAGTTTCCGGTTCAGTTCTTTCTTACGTCTGGGTTATCAGAAATAGTTTTGCAGCCTATATATAGTTGATGTGTTAAAATAAATTTAAAAAGCAGTATAGGTAATAGATTTTCTTTCTAGTAAGGGAAATCAATTTGAGTTTAGTTTTTGGATAACCAAATTTGGATTTGGACCATTTATATTAACTTATGAGGTTAATAATGGACTTCGGGTTATGAGTGACTATATAAACACTATTAACCTAATTTTTGGTAAGAGAAAACAAAAAAAATAGAGAAGAGATTTTCGGAGGCAAAAGGAAATAG